TTTTCCTCTGTAAATTGTTTTCAATCTCTTCTACACTCAGGATATTCCAGATGTTTGATGAATATTTACTTCCATCTTCTTGTGTATGTGTAATATTTAATACTTCTAGCATTTATTTGGTGTATATTGTGATGGAACTGTCTAAATTTTTTCTAAATAGCTAACTACACAGGAAAGAAGGAAGACTATTACAGTTTATATCTAGATGCCCTCCTAAAGCCTCATGCAATCATAGGCAGGACCTTTGGGAAGGTGACTGAATTACTGGGGTACAATGGCTGGCTTGCTGGTAGGAGGTAGGGGCTGGTCAGAAGAGGCGGGTCATTGTGGGTGTGACCTGAAAGGATATAGCTCTCCTCACAGCTCCTCCCTAGGGCTCTGCCTCCTAGGTGCCATGAGGTGAGCAGCTTTCCTCCACCCAGGCCCTTCTGCCTTGTTGTTTCCATGTTTAAAACTGCCAGACATGGAGGAGAACTTCTGAAATGTGAGCTTTTAGGTTATGGATGTTGGATATTGTGTTCCAATGAAAGTAACTGAAACAAAGGGTAAGAAAGAAAAAAAGAAAATGGCCCAGCTGGCTAGGTGCTAAGAGAAATAATTAGTAGTATTTATATTGGTCCTACAATTCAGGATTTGATTCTTAGTCACATACAGTCAGAAATCTGACTTTGTTCTTCTATGGTGAGAGAATTTGTTTCTTAGAGGCAAATCCCTTCCTGCTCCCCTTCCTCTTCCTCTTCTCTAATGAAACTCAAGCGTTTATGCACAGGTACATGTGTATCAGATATGTCTGAGTATGTGGTGGGCCAGAGATACACACTTCAGAGATGGGATGCCATTTTGTAAATAAGAATGAAAAACATAAACATGGAAAGAATAGATATTGCCAGGTGTGGTGGTGGACATCAATAATCTCAGCTATTCAGGGGCCTGACACAGGAGGACTGCAAGCTTGAGGACAGCCTGGCAATTTGGAGAGACTCAGTCTCAAACTAAAAGAATAAAAAAGAGCTGGGAGATAATGCAAAATAGGAAGAAAAGGTCCAAAGGGGTAGGGGTAGTGGGAGGGGCAGGGGAAAGGAAAGAAAGGAAAGGAAAAATGATGAGAAATGGAAAAAATGAAAATAAAGTCTTTGTAAATAGGGAAGGGTGGAGGGGGTGAAGGGAGGGCTAGGAATAAGGAAAAAATAAGAACCAAGATGCATTACATAAAGGTACAATTCCCAATGAGAAATGTAATTGTGTTGTATACCTAAAATGTACCAATAAAAGAATTTAACAACAACAACAAAAAAGAGCTGGGGATGTAACTCAGCCCTAGGTTCAATCCCCAGCACCACCACCACCACTCCCCAGCCATGGGATAGATATTTGTTTTCCACTGACCAGATATTCTCCTTTTTAAGTGATATGGAAAATAAATTATTAAGCCGGGCATGATGGCACATGCCTTTAACCCAAGCACTCAGGAGGCAGGGGCAGGTGGATTGTTTCAAGTTAGAGGTTAGCCTATGCTACATAGAGTTCAAGGCCAGCCTGAACTGCATAGTGAGACCTTGTCTCAAAAATCCAAGACAAACAAACAAACAAACAAAAAACAGGGAAAAGATCTCAATAACCGATAAGAGTTTGGTAAAATGGCATTATCCTGCATTGCTAGTAAGGGTTGCTATAAATGCAGAAGTCATATCAGTATTCTCATTAAAGAGCTATGAAAATGAAACAAACAAAAATAGCCATAGAAGTTCCAAAAGAAAATATGGAAGATTTTATAAACTCAGAGTAGGAAACTTACAATTTTGGGGGGGGGGGGCAGGGTCTCACTTTGTAGTTCAGACTGATCTTGAACTCACCATGTAGCTCAGGCTGGCTGCTAACTCAAAGAGATCCTCCTGCCTCAGCCTCCTGAGGGCTGGGATCATAGCCGTGTACCACCACACCTGGCATAATTTTCACTCAAATTACAGAAGGCACAAAAGAAAATACTGGTACATTCGATTACAAAAAGATGAAATTTCCATGGGGCAAGAGACCATCATATTCAAAACTGACAAAATATAAAAGTGTATCAGAGAAGAATGTAATTTTTTTTCCTTTTTTTTTCGCAGTACTAAAAATTGAACACAGGGCCTTGACACTGAGCAATGTTTCCAGCCCTTTTTAAATTCTGAGACAGTATGAGGGAAGCCCTATTCAAGCCCTTGCTAAATTGGTAAGTTGGCCAGGTTGGGTTTAAACTTTCGATCCTCCTGCCTCAGTCTTCCAGAGTGCTGGATTTATAAGCATGGAACACTATGCCCTGTTGAGGAGGTAATCTTTATAATACACTCCAAGCTTTTAGGAAATTGTAAGAAAAAGAATAACAGAGAAAACAGATGACAGTTTACAAAAAAAAACACAAAAAAAACCCTGCCTCTAAATCAAATAAAAAGATGCTCAACTTTACTCGTAAAAATAAACTACACTTTGGGGGTGGGATTTTGGGTTCAATGAGCATTCACCTAGCATATGTGAGTCCCTGGGTTCAATTCCCAGTACTACCAAGAAAACAAAACAAAACAATAAACCAAAACTCAATTAATATTGACAATGCTATGGGAAAATACTCTTAATCACTCTTCTTTCAATTAGTGGCACTTAGCCATTACTGGTCAGTCCGAATATAAAATGATAGAATGTCTCAAAATAAAAATAAATAAGCTAGCATGGTGCCTATAATACCAGCAATCTAGGAAGTTGAGGGAGGAAGATTGCAAGTTCAAGCCTTGCTTAGGTGACATAGTGAGAGTATGTCTGAAAACAAAAAAGTAAAAGGACTGACATATAGCTCAATGTGAAGGCCCTGGATTCAAGTCTCAGTATTAAAAAAGAAAAGCAGCTATATAGACATATATAAAAAATATAAATAATCAGAAACTCTGGAAGGATTAATAAGAAACCTTGACACTGGTTGCCAATTGAGGTCTGGGAAACAGAAGACAAGGACAAGAGGGAGACTTTATTCAGCATACTTCATTAATATTTTTTGGGGGTGGATTTAGCTCGGTGGTGCTGTGCCTGCCTTGCAAAGGCAAGGTCCTGAATTCAATCCCTGGTACCAAAAACAAATTGGGGGCGGGGGGGAGGTTGAATCATACTCAGAAATAAACTCTTTTTTAAAGTCTGTCAAACAAACCAGTGAATTATTAACTATTAATCACATATTTAACCATATGTAGCCTATAAATCAAGATTAACATACTATCCTAGGAGCTCCTAGAGTGATGAAAACTGTGTCTTTAATCAAGATTCATGTGCTATATGAACAGGTGAGGAGTTAGCTTTCTGATGTGAAAAGTAAAGAAGTTGTTTTTTATTGGGAGAGAGAGAGAGAGGAGAGAACCAAGCTACTGCCAGGTGAATAGCTTTTCTACTTTCTATTGCAATTGTTTATCTGGTTAATGGCTTGAATGCAGTGATGATGGCAGGAATGGAAAGGAACAGATGTAAATAACATGAATGGGAAATAAACCCATGGTTTCTGATGGCTGACTGGCTGTGGAAGCCTAGTGAAAGAGAAGGATTTAAAGTCTAGGTATTCAGTGGTATCACAAACAGAAACTGGGAAGTCTGGAGGAAGAGCTGGTTTAGTGGAAAAGCAATGGCCTGGGTTTTAAGTGCCTCTGAGTTGAGTGGGAAATCAGCTCAAGATGGCAAGAAGGCTGCTGAAAATGCTGATCAGAGGGGCAGTGAGGCTTGAAAACAGAGGTGTATGAGACACCTGCAAATAGCAATAAGGGTATTGGAAGGGATGAAACACTGGCTGAGATGAGAACCTGGAGGACTGCCCACAATTGTGATCAGGATGGGGAAGAGAAGCCAGTGTCACAGGGAAAGACAGGGAGAATTAGGAGAGCATGTGACACATTAGCCAATAGTGGGGAGTATCAAGAAAGATGCAGTGAAGGGCCGAGGGACAATAATCACAGTAGCAATATGTGTTATCTCCTCTAGTTGTCACTCATAGCAAGCAGTCATGCAGGTGGTATTACTATAACCATTTTACAGAAAAGGGCATTAACTCAGATGTGTCTTCAAAGCCTATAAGGTAACTTTGGGAGATCAGAATTCTGACACTAATTTTACCACTAAATTAGCTATGTCCACGGGCAAGCAACTGCCTTTCTAGGCTTACCTCACTTGATAGCAAATTTAAAGAATTGATATAGATCATCTTCAGTTCTTAGTAATATGAATGTTTGGTTAAGGTAGAATGAAAGAAATATATACACAAGAGGCAATGAATTAAAAATTTAGCCTATATTCAGAAGGATAAGCTACGCTTCTTTAAGAAGTTACTCAAAATAAAGATGTCATTAAAAATTAATGAGCTGGACATGGTAGTGCATATCTGTAATCCCAGCACTGCGGAAGGTAGGGGCAGGAAGTTCCCAAATTTAAGCTCAGTTTGGGCAACTCAGAAACTTAGCGAAACTGTCCCCAAAAAACAAAACAGGGCCAGGGATTTAACTCAGTGATTCTGGCGCCTGCCTTGCAAGCACAAGGTCCTGAGTTCGATCTCTGGTACCAAAAAACACCTCCAAAACAAAATAAAACAAAAAACCCCAAAAACAAAACAAAACAAAACCAATATGTGAACAAGGACAGAATGCTGAATGTTCTAAGTTTTGGTTGTTTTTGCCCAGTCTGGTCTTGAACTTATGGGCTCAAGTGGTCCTCTTACTCAGCCTCTGAAGTAGCTGAGACAACAGGCATGTGTCACTATGCTCAGTTAGATGTCAAGTGCTTTATACAGTGAAATTTCAAGCAATAAATCTAGTCTATGATATATAAAATCAACAGTTGCAAAATCCTACTTTTATATATTTCGTTAAGTGAGATACAATAATAAGAATTAAAATTTCTCACCCGTGGTCTGGAGGTATAGCTCAGTTGTAGAACAAGTATTTAGCATGTTCAAGGTCTGGGTTTCAATCCCACAAAAAAAACAGTTTTCATACCTGGAAATTTATAAATGCTGCTCTTTCGTTCCAGTTTTAGTATACGTGCTACCGAAGCGAGCACTATAAATGCTGCTCCTGAAACCCTGTTAAGTCAGTTGAATGAAATAAAAAAAGAAGATTCCAAAGCAAAGTTCACGTATTGAGGACTGTCCTGTGGAAAGAGAAAATAGCTATTTATAATGCACTTTTGCAACAAGAGGCAAACATGTGCTAAGGTACACAGAATGTTTATTTAAATAAATTACATGGAAGGCTGTATTCTATAAGATATCTATAGGTACTTTTTATCAGCACCCCAAAAATAGGTAATCTGAGCCAAAGATGGTAACACAGGCCTGTAATCCCACCACTACTGAAGGCTGAGGAAAATCCAAGTGTGAAGCCAGCCTGGGGATCTTAGTGACTTAGCTGGTGATGTAGGTCAGTTTGAAGGCCCTTGGCTCAATCCTACTAGTATAGTTAGAAACAAAGGAGGTGAGAGTCACTCCCTTCCCTCCATTCAACTGTGAACATCACACTACCCTAATGGTTATCCATGCTTCCATTGTCTCAAAAGAGGGTACAAAATAAAATAACCAAAGCCTAGGAGATCACCATGCCCAAGCTGGCAGAACACTGACACCAGTGAGAGGTCCAACAGGAGGCACCTAGAGTTGGAGGTGTCTGATCCTTTAAATACTGGAAACCTGAGTTACCGAGGGGCCCCTTTTCTCTTTCCCCTTTTGCCTATTCCTGCTGCTACTGTCCTGTGATCTTCAATAAACGTAGCTACTTACTACATACTATGGGGTGCACATTTGGCAATTCTTTTCTCCTTGTACATGAGAACCTGGACTATTTTTGGCCTATTCAACTGTAACATTAGCACTGCAAAACAAAACAAAAACGTTTGGCCTCAAATTGTCCTGTTACAATTCTTGGGCCTTCACACTGGGCAACATTGTCAGCCCTTTTTTCTTGGAAGACAGGGTTTCACTAAGTTGCTAAGTTGTGCAGGCTGGGTGTGAACCTGTGATCTTCCTGCTCCAGCCTCCCAGAATGCTGGGACTGCAGGCATGCGACACCACACCTGATCCTAACCTCAGCATTAAAGTCTGCAAGGCATTTTCCTTGCATGCTCAAAGCCCAAGGTTTGATCTCTGGGGGAAGAAAAGGTATTTAAAGTCCACAAGAAGAGATGTTTCAATATTAAAATATGTCACGGCAAATTAAAGCAACATACACATTTTTCTTAAATTCTTTTATTGGTACATTTTAGGTATACAGTACATTTACATTTATCATTGGGTGCTTGTACCTGTACATGATGTATCTTGGTTTTTATTTTTCCCCCATTACCTG